TATATATAATCATATATCTCAGCTTCGTACTCGTCTAAAATAGCTTATGAAATTGTGGTATCCAATCATTAGGAGGCATTACCATTTATTTAATTTTAAAATCGTCTTCTAAAATTGTTTGTTATAACCGGCTGTCTTTGATGATGTTCTATCCGCACCCAGTATGTACACCACGATTAAGTTTTGAGCCGACTGAACAATAACAAAGTACCCATGATTAACAGTATTAGTTTGCGATACATATGCAGGGTAAAAATTACCATTCACATTAGCGCTACGCAATGGCTCTAAAAGTGTATACCCAATATTGTGTGCAGAAATGTTTGAGGTTTTTTTCTGAATGATATCACATTTTTCTTAACGTTATTATTTTGAAAATAATATATAGGATATAATATTGGCTAATAATGCACAGTTACGCTAAACAAAGTTACTCTGGAACATGAATTGACTACAGGGTTAGGTTGGAAATACATACAGTATAAATACACACGGTAGTATTTGATTTCTAGGGAAATATAGAGGTTGAATTCTGGAAAGTATTGGAAAAAATACCGATTTCAAAACATCTAAAAAATTATATAACCATAATATATAATAATAGACGTTATTGAAAGACGAAAAACCAGCAATAAAAAAACAACGAGGCACAGGAAAATGTATGCCACCACAACCAGCGGTGTCCCACAGCGGTGTTCGAATTCTACACAATTTGCACCCGGGTAATTGCCATCTGTTTCGAAGACTACGGGATAACGCAGAATTCGACGCCAATATATGGTATTGTAATTCCCCAACAAATTAGGGGAGATGATGAAGGTAATTTCGAAAGCTACAGATTTGTCCCGAGTGTACACCAACCACTGTATTAGAGCGATGGCGTGCACACACCTGATTAGACCGGAGATGAGACAAGGTATATTGTACGTGTCCTGTCACGAAAACGAGGCGGGCATCAGATCTAATACCAACAAACTTACCTCAGAAGAACGACATACAGTCACATAACTGTGGTTATACCAAATATGTATCCAAGTCAGACGTTAGTTCTTAGACCGCCGTGCCGGTCGTGATGAACCACCCGTCCCGCCATGTTTCAAACGTCCGTCGAACCAAGTACCGCTGAACGTCAAATAGCCACAGCTATAAGCAGTATGATAAGTCAGATATTCGTTTTATTTCACAGCTGAACTGTTAATGGACCAATTACAGTCCAAATTGTACAAAAACCAGAATGAAAACGTTGAAAATCTGTTGTGTTATTGATCCAAATTGTATCCGACCCTGTATTTCAAATGGCGTTGACATAGTCAGTAAAAGGTCGGAAAGGTCATCTTTTGTTATGCTATTTTTGTGTTTACGCCTTTCTAATCACTGTGGATACTACGTTTCATTTGCACGTGGAATAAAAGTTTGTGTTTAATTTGAACTGTGTTGCGTGTGTTATTTTTGTGTGCAATAAGTGTACAACTACATACTGTTTTCAAAAATATTCATGTACAAGGGCCATAATAAATATCTTTAGTAGATGCAAATAAACGTTTTCTTTACTAGATTTATCAAAATGTCAATATACTGGTATAATAGCAATATCCCCGCCACACGCCTACGGATAATGCATATATGTCGGAAATTGTACAGTATCTCGTGGTATACCCCCCTTTGACGGATGGGGAGGGGGCGTTATTGCTTAGATAAAGCTCACAAAGGTCATGTATGCATGAAGTAGAGATTGGCCACTTTGATATGCAAATTCATTTCAACAACTCGCACTCTGTTTCCCTTTTCCCCAGACACCTTGTTACCAAAGAATCTACTTTCAATGGTTGTACTTTGACCTTAATTCACGACAACAGCCTTCAGTGTTGCTGGTATTAACGGCTGTTATAGATCACAGAGTAATCGTTTCTTACTATTCGCACTGCTAACAAACTATAAATTCAACATGGCGGCATACCTGGTTTATATCTTACATACACAATTCTGTCTACTTTGAAGAGTCAATGTCCTTTGTGTTTTTAAATACAGACCACCATGGTATGTTATATTTGTTTATTAGAGTACAGTAATCTCCCATAATTGTAATGGGTTTTACTTAGCAGCTATTATTGTATATAGAATTATGCCAGGTAAGTGGTCGATAGCTCGATAGCTGAGAGACCGCCGAAAAGTTCGACCAATGCCTTAGGTAAATATATACTCAATATAGAGAAAAATACATAGATGATGCATATATTTGTGATCGATATGCTATAGTCAATCGAAGAATGGAGCATGTTAGTCCTGTTCGACGTAAGCAAATTGTATATATTACTTTTTGTTTACATATTACATTCACGTACTTACCTGTTGTGTGTAATATTGTACCACGACTGTTAACACAAATTAGAAACATATATAATTGTGTACTGGCATCTAATTTATCTGGGAACTTTACAGAATGAATATTTCATTGTGTATAATATGTATTGAATGCAAGCGCTAATATACACCTCATAGTAAACTCACAACTGCCATTACATACCATGGTATGTGGTTCATAATACAAAGGTCATTCATCAATGAAGTTAAAAGTAGATACTTTTATTTATTTCCTTAACACCTTAAGCTTCGAGCAATAATATTCGTACAATCTATCTATCAATATTGACCTGAACACAATTACTAATTTTCCGAATATTTTCATTGAATAATTAGGCATTATGATAGCAGTTGTTAGAACAGTGCTTCATCTTTTGCAATTCATGTCAACTATCTACCAAACATCCCCCGTAAAGCAAAACAAAACATTTTTGTAATATTAACATGTATTTGCGCACAGGTCTTGAGTGTCACGTCAGCCATGTTTAAAAGTCTCGGCTATTATTCACATGTTCCACTATTACACAATAAAGACTGTTTTACGTCTACAGGTCAAGCTTTTGAACATAAATAATACCAAATAGCTTACGCTTACGCTTTTTTGAATAACAATGTGTGCAGTATACAATGCAGGTCAACACAAATGTTATATGTGTCTGTGTAACTACTGGTATTTCAGGTTCATGCCCTCATTACTTTTGAGATGTAGATTAGACTATTACAATTCAGACACTGTGTAAGTAAAATCGCTGCTACCATAGTGTGCACGAGTTGTGTTGTGCTATTTGACCCCAATTCATAACACCTGTTTTAGCTGCTGGTGTATATGACTGCTTTAGATCTGAAAGTTGTTGCTCTTCAACAATTCACACCACTAAAAGTCAGTATGAATCCAACATGGCGGCGACACTCATAAATGTAATACACTCGCTCATTGGAACACAATGATGTGTTGCAAATAAGGTTTGAAGTCTTGAAACCTATAGTCTCACAAGCTCCTTAGATTCAGTCCTGACATATTTATACGTACTTCACTGATCAACATCCTCAATTTATGGTCAAACCACGGGGTAATAAACACTTTGGTTACTTCCCTTTTGATTTGGGTCACAAAGACAAAATCAGTGAATTTACAAAAAAATTATGATTTTCTAATGTAGAAGAATGAACTTTTATTTAAAACTTGTAACATATTCTACTATTAGTAAAACATTATATAAACCTAGCGTATTTGTTTTATTTCACAGTAGTGAACCGGTTCTTATGTGTTTACAACATTGTAGTAACTATTTTCCGAACAAAACTACTGCTATTTTTTTAGAACCCATCCAAATGAATGTCATTAGCTGATATTTCTCACTGATATAATTTATTTTAATTGAGCAAACAATTAAGTGCCTAATTTCACATTTACTAATGTGTTATGTGAAAAAAATATTTAGACGGAATATTACGTTCACTATCCATGCCTTGTTTAGGTAATACATGTAAACCCGGAAGTATTAAGTCTGACAAATGCGTGTATGAACTGATTTAGAACAGGTTTAGCACATATGAAAGCATTGTCATATGTATAAATATCCAGAGCGTTATTGTTTTACACAAAATATAAAGCAATATCTCGTTATAAACTCACTTCATGTGATCTGTTTCATGGGCGACCCTTGTTAGAGATGCATAGCTTAAAGTAAGACAAGTTTGCTTTGAAATCACATAAAGTCTGTGTTTTGTTTATGTCACCCCAGTCAATGCGTTGACGCAACAAAATGAGCAGTGTGACACAGATACTCGTTATACATAATTAATCAAGTGAGCATTGCCATGGTGTCGCAGGTAATAATAATTCTATCCACATAGAAGACAGGTGGTTTCCCTCAGAGACTTGTGTAATACAAACATGCAACAACAAATGATATTGCAAATACAATATACAATATATTAATATATATACTGTATATAAACAATACACACTATCACCCTATTAATCTTATCTTTATTAAACACTTAACATAGCGGGAACCATTTAAGCGTGAGACTTGAAATGAAAATGACAAATCGACATCACTACAATGTATTTACTCACTATATAGACAACATTCTATTGCTGCATTCCGGGTATAAAAATGTGTTCACTGACTTTTTACCGTGAATTCAAATTAGTGCAGAAATTTAAAGTTGTGTGGCTATGTTTACGAACTTCGATCAAAGCCAACGGATATGCTATGTTCTCGTATGTTCGTCCCATATAAAATCACAGTTTGATTATGTAAAATTGTTCATAAATCGACAAAGACTTCAATACTTCATTTAGTATAGCATAGCAATAATAAGAAATAGTACATAAACATTAGGTTTAATACGAATTAGTATAAATTAGGTGCTTCATTTACATTATGATAAACAACAGTAACAACAATTAATAGGCATGTTACCATACTTACAATCACATGGTCACGTCAGTTACGACCGAGATGCGTATAATATACATCAAACACTCACAACATTTTAATGCATATCAGAGACACGACAACTCATTTTATATACAAATATGTTTAGGAATTGACATTCACATTAAAATCAATACATTATTTGCAGTAATATTATATTTGTGAGGCTCGAGGTCAAAACTCATCCTACGAGAGGTTATTTTTCACAGTCCATAATTACAAAATAACATAAATAGTAAACTAAAAAAAACAGATTACAATCCCAAGTAGAAACCTACAGTGAATCATAATTATAATGTTTTACAACAATACAAATATGAATAATGCAACAAAGTCTTACACAACACTTACATTACACAAGTAATTAAAAAACATAAAACTACGCCACGAGGAAGTACCTGTTACATTTTAATTCAGACACATTCCAGCATGATACTTTTGTGGTCATTGACATTTCGTATTCAAACATTTGCATATGGCGACTCAAGTAATGGAACGTTAACATGAACCTGTGTAACGAAAATAATAAAAGTTTGTCAATCAACAGGAATTGCACTACGGTTTCATAATGACGAATATATTCATAATCAGTTACTTACGTGTTTGTCTTGAATTATCTGGCTAATAGAATTTCTTAGTTGAGTAAAAGATGGTCGGTCTATTGGATGACGTCTCCAACACGAAGTAAGTAATTGGAATCTAAATAGAAATATGTATTGTGTCAAGGTAAATTTCTCATTGGTGGGATATTGTCTGTATTGAAAGCATTGACAATATCAGAAATTATAATTACATATGATTTCCACAATGTGCTGGTTTTCGCATTCGATTTCCTTCTCGTATCATGCTTGTCACTGCTTGCTCAGACGCCCCTTGGTATGGCACTGCACCTGGTGTTAAACAGAATAACACAGGTGGGTATGAGATTATCATACACTATTTCTCCCACATGACTTGTCGCAGTTTTAAATATAAAATATTATGTAAATCAATACATATATTTACCGAGATTCACAATTTCCCACATGACGACACCAAAAGACCAGGTATCACTCTTCAATGTAAATCTTCTGTTCAACAATGTTTCAGCAGACATCCATTGGTATGGATAGTTGTTCTAGAAAATAATGCATGATGTCTCATTAATGGTGAATCCTGTCCATTAAGGGTATACATAGATGAAATGAAGTCAATTTAATAAATTAAATAAGAATACACTTAGCTATACTTAATTAATTCTTTCGTTTACGGTACCGTGTATGTCTCCACAACATCTATCACGTAGGATTAGACATAGCTGATAGAAAAATATAAAACACATACTAGAATATTTATATACCTGAGTTTTTTCAAAGAAACGTAAGTCGTCGATGACGTCACTAGCGTAGCTAAAATTGGATATTTTACATTGTCTATGGCCATTCAATAAGATATGCTCAGTGGTCAAATATCTGTGAATAATCTGAAATAAGAATAAATGTCAAAGTTTTTTTTAAATAGCATGCACTCACGCAATTTTTCGGATGTGGCATGTGTACAACATTGGAAATATAAATAGAATGTAATGAACATGGAAATATAGATAGCATGTAATGAACTTGGAAATAAAAATATAATGTAATGAACTTGGAAATATAGATAGCATGTAATGAACTTGGAAATATAAATAGCATATAATTAAATTTGGAAATATAAATAGCATGAATTGAACTTGGAAATATAAATAGCCTGTAATGAACTTGGAAATATAAATAGCATGTAATGAACTTGAAAATATAGATAGCATGTAATGAACTTGGAAATATAGATAGCATGTAATGAACTTGAAAATATAAATAGCATGTAATGAACTTGAAAATATAAATAGCATGAATTAAACTTGAAAATATAAATAGCATGAATTGAACTTGGAAATATAAATAGCATGTTATGAACTTGGAAATATAAATAGCATGTAATGAACTTGGAAATATAAATAGCATGTAATGAACTTGAAAATATAAATAGCATGTAATGAACTTGGGAATATAAATAGCATGTAATGAACTTGAAAATATAAATATCATGAATTGAACTTGGAAATATAAATAGCATGTTATGAACTTGAAAATATAAATAGCATGTAATGAACTCGAAAATATAAATAGCATGAATTGAACCTGGAAATATAAATAGCATGTAATGTACTTGGAAATATAAATAGCATATAATAAACTTGGAAATATAAATAGCATGTAATAAACTTGGAAATATAAATAGCATGTAATAAACCTGGAAATATAAATAGCATGTAATGAACTTGGAACTATAATTAGCATGGGAAACCAACCTTTAATTTAGACAAATGCTCCATTCCATTTGCAATGTCAGCCATACACGATAACAGTCTACTTTGAGTAATATCCTTTAATCCAGACTCGTTACGTTTAGAATGAAGATAGCATTTCAGATCTGACGACTGTAACTCCATTATTATATATTTTGGAACTGTGTATAAACAAGATATTAATAAACAATTACTGTGATTCACCTTATTTTATTTCCCTGACACGATGATGTGTCGCCCACTCACCTTTGTCTGTGCAGCATCCAAGTAATTTTACAATATTATTATGATTTGATATATACTGCATTATTCCAATTTCTTTGGAGACCTCTTTCTCAATTTGATTGTTCGAAGGATCTACAACACAGAACATATTACATGAACTTTAAAACATGCAAATCGCACTGTATTTTATAATTCACATGACATAATAGTCAAACACGATAATTGCAATATACGATGGTTAAATAAGACCCATATAGATATGTCGTCATACAAATAGAGACACATATAGCATAAACTATCGAACATGTATCCATGAGAGACATAATATTACTCACCGATATTTTTCTTAATCACAACATCTGACTGACCACCTGTTCCACTCCAAGCAACACATTTTGCCAATTCATAGAATCGACCAGCAGATACTATACATTTCATGCTTATATCATGTCTCGGAAATTCTAATATTTTTTGTCCTGCTTTCATGTAAATATTTTCTTTTCCGTCGTGGTTAAGGGAGGCGTACACATTGTCATCGTTAGTAGGCTAATACAAACGTAAACAATAATATTTAATATAATCCATGTTGGTGATACAACGCATTGATCTATGACTGGTTTGCTGGTAAAATTATCTATAGTAAGATTGAATAAATAAATAAACGAAAAATAATATTAATTGTACCTTTTTTGATAATTCTGGCCTAACATTCTCGTAAGTAGCTGAAACATGGAAGTTTTTGGAGGTTGGTAATTGAACTGCGCAAACATATTCGGAACATATATTTCAACACTGTGTCCAACCATTCAATTAATCAGACAGGTAAATCAAAACCATAAATCAAGTTGCGATTTGTTTCTGACATATATAGGGCAATCTAAATTCGTTCATACATTAAAAATGTTTGACTACGATAGGCAGTAATATTGAAAAAAAGATTGACCGTTAGTTTCACATTGATAGTATCACAATGCAATATCACAGCCTCGTCAACCATTAAGTGTTCTATGAACTTTGAACATAAACACGTGTGTCGTTTACTGCACACACCTCGTGGGACAACTAGTTTAACAAAATCAGCAGCATTATCCTCTGTATATATCCAACACTACTTATAGATTGTTTGACCATATTAATGCAGATATTAATGCAGATAGTCATGTAATCTCTTGATTTCTAATTTACCTGTTGATGTTCTCTCTGGCAATTCATGGTCCTGTCGTTCTTCTAATGTCGTGTCTGACAAATAGTACAGTGATGATGTTAACAAAGTGTACATGATAGTTTGCTAAATGTTTTTTTTTATCTACAACATATCTAAAACATGTGCGTGGAACACGTGATTAATGACAAGGAGCGTTTATTGTCAAACGTATTCTATACATTTCAATATTATATAATTCTAATATATCGCTGTGTTATTGCTTAGTATTACAAATTGCAGGAATGTAAATATGAATATATTTAATTTTTATTGTAATGTGTTACCTTTGTTTCGTTTACCCCTTCGTTTCATGAATATTAAACCCGTTGCAGAGGCCACTGCAATTATTGCAACTATTACAACCAAAGGACCAATGTAAACGCCGGGATTGGTTGGAATATTTCCAGGCGAGTACTTATTACTGATTGGTGCTGCTATTGGAAGAATAACAGGAACGATATTAATTTACCTAAGATTATTGCCACTTATAATAAACAATGCTTTTATAATTTGGGTATCTAGCAGTAGCAGTATAAAAGAATGAATGAGTGCGGGTCATCACATGTGTCCCTGGACGTTGTATTGATTACATACGTCATAGTATTGTACACTCCGTGTATGATATTATTTATTTCCACATTACATTTTTTTCCAGATACGAACTATCGAATATTGGCAATACCATTTGCAATACTGGCATACTCATGCATTGGTCGAAAAACTATATTCATACATGACTTTCAAAAAAGATTTTTAACACAGAACAATACAATTTGGGCAAAACTACTATTACACGTTTCACGTAATAACTATATTCAGGGGAAATGTATACTCCATATGCAGTAGAATGAGGAGTATTAGTATAATGATGCGAAAACTGGTGATAGTAAAATCACAGTAATTTCTTTTGTCATATAGTTTGTTTGTCACACAATTGAATCCTGGATTGTACATTTTGATAATGTATGTTTGTCTGTCACTAATATATACTTGCTAAACAGGTTGGAAATTAACTTTTCTTACCTGTAGTTGTAAATGTGATCGTTTCGCTTGGTTCACTAACGGAAATCACATTTTCAGCTGTTACATATATTTCATATTCAGTGGATGCATTCAATCCATCCCTGTGATAAAGTGGCATCTCAACTTTATTTGATCTGATGAAATCATTGACATATAACTGCCTGTATGACACATAAAACCATTGTGATGATCCACCGTTATATCCTATATCCCATGTAATATTGACAGAGTCCCATGATATACCCGTGGTTCTCACATTGGTGGGTGAATCTGGCTCTCCTGTAAACACATATATAGATGAACACAATGGAAACAATTGTATTGAATTCAACAGCCTGATATTGGTATGTATGTATGAATCACTAATGTGAATATGTTCAGAATGACATGGAGTATTTAATAACACTACTTACTTTTACCAGCCAGTGTAATATTCAAGTAATCACTACCAATAATATTACTAGCATAACAGGTATATACACCATGGTCTACTCCAGGTCTCGCATTCAGTATATACAGTGTGCTTTGTGTAGTTCTATTCATTGTGTATGGTTCATGTTTTATCACAACTCTGCTGGTATCACTCATAAGTGCCACTCTACTACCATCAGTCCATTTATACCACTCTATCACCGGTAATGGATATCCTATAGATGTACACACAATGGTAGCATTCTGACCTTGATCTGCTGAACTTTCTTCCAAAGTGTCATTGAAAATTACAGCAGAATCTGTGATTAAGGAATATACATAAATGTATATATCTTTGCATGATATATAGATTCAAACACATGTTGTTATCTTGTCTATTCTATGCAGCCAAATATTTTGGCGGTCATATCAAGAGATTTATTACCAGGAATAATAAAGAAATGATTCACCAGGAAACTAAAAAGTGGAGCCCGAGGAAAATGGAAATAAATATGTTTGACAAAATGGAAATAAATAAGTTCATTAAGTATTTTAAATAAATATGAAATATGTTTGGTTCCTGACACTAATTTAGAATATATGCAACAAATATATGTATGCTCTGTCAAGTAGGATTTTATAGGGTAAAACATATTCTAAAGAACACATGAAAATTATTGTTCTTTTACACTTACATTGTACAATTATATTGACAAATATAGTTTTTGGATTATTCTGGACATCATGATTACTTTTACATTTTAATTTCTTTCCAAAGTCTTCCCTATTTGGTATCATTGATAATTCACTAACTGTGTCTTTTCTACCACTGATATCCCATAATATTCTATGGTTGACATTGCTGGTAATTATATCATCATCTATATACCACTGTATACTGGCAGCAGGATGGGCTTTAGTAGTTCTACACATGATGTTAAATGATTCTCCAGATATCATAGTAACATCACTGCTGTCAGGGTAACCATTAAAATATAAACTGTCTGGAGATACTGTAAAGTATATAAAGATAATGTCATCTCATGTTTTATGAATCGACAAACAAATTAGTATTCTGTCGTTACTGATACATAACATTATATTTTCTCTAGAGATGTCTCCTCCGGATGCCGTAAGAAACGTCACAAAATTAGTAAGTTGTAATGCAGTCATAACCGATTGCTATCGGACATTCCGTTCGAGAGACAGAACGAATATTTCTTGTACTGAAATATTTCCCTGCTATTCTATTAACTCATATCTGGTAAATTCAATTTAAAACTACATTGGGTTGGCAGTATATGGCTTATAGTGTGATTTTATAATAACGATGATTGCTTTTATTTAACACAGTTCGCCGTTTCACACTTTTGATTTTGAGATTTAACCCTAGGCTTTCCGCCCATGTTCAATACGAACCACCGGTATGTCGCGGCGTAGCGTGGTGCCTGGCCATAGGTGGATACCTGATGATGCCTCCACGGGCGATCACTACAATGCTACTCCACGTAAGTCAGTCGTTCACTCAAAGTATTTAAATTACAATAATAATTGATGGATTTAAAACTAGTTTCGTGCTCATTTTACTCTTCTCATTACACACTGTAAAATCGAATTTCATAAATGACATTTTAAATCAAGCAGATTCATGGGCCAGTGACTATGACACATTTTCGTTCACTGTGAATTTTACTACAAGTTTTCTGCTTTATGATGGCAACAAATTCACTGGTACTAACAACGCTACAAAATAATAGGCCGTCTATTATCTTTTAAGTGAATATAATTAAACTGTACTTGTAATGTTTAACATCAGTGATAACAAAAATTACGCCGTGCTTGCAACAAACGAGTTATTAGTAAATACACATTTAACAATAATTACTAGTAATATTTATTTACTAATAACTCACAAAACAGCACATATGTGGCAATTGTGAATATACATACGGTAACTAGTTTGTGAATGTGAGCGATGTATTTATTTACGCAAACTATACTGTGGAGTAAAATAATAATTATAATAAAAACAGGATTGTGCAAGGGTATTTCTGAAATACGATAGTACGCACTTCAAATACGCGGAATGAGTCGCGGAGTTGTTTAATCTCAGAACGTATCGGTTCACCAATGAATGGAAGTTTTACACAAACATAGCTGAACGAACAAAAATGTGTGTAAAAATAAAATGTCAAAACACTACTTCGCATGCGTTCATGTGCAGTATACTAATGCGTTTCGTTACGCCTGTCAAGGTTACTCTTGTAATTTTAATTTTGAATCGATGTACTCTTTGTACTGACAGTGTTCTAAAGAAACAGAGCAACACAGTGATAATAATACCTATTTTCAGACAACTCCCGCTGTAAGGTATTTGTGTTCATGTTTTATTTTTTGATCTATGTTTGATCAGAATGTATTTACCTAATTATCGCATTATCGTAATCAGTAGATGCGAGTACTATAGATAGGGCTTGTTTGTCGGACGTAGCGCTTGAGATCCAAATTGCACGATACATTATCCCGTTTTTTTAAGTCGGAACGTGAATCGATGGTATTTCGTACATTGATTCAGATCGAAGTGGTTGGAGTTTACATGTGATTACAATTCCAGTGTCGACTCAAAACCACCTAAGTAATGACATCAGTACTTTCAGACTCCAGTGAAAAATCAGGAAATTCAGCAGCAGTACAAGAACGGAGTCCAGCGAGTGTTTAGGCGACCTCCGCATTTTAAAAAACGTTATCTTGTGGTAATTATCATAATTATTTGCAAATATATTGTAATTTGAAAAATAATGAACAAAGCATTTCTTTCAAGAGGTCTAAGCATATTCCCAAATTACCTTCTGTTGAGCATAACACGCAGTATAACTCTAAAAACATGCCAAAAACAATAATGCACATTCAAGATTCATCTGCAAATTGCTATACAGTAACTTAGACACATGATGACTCTTCAATGGAAGGGCTGATATATTATAACATATATTTGCTAAGATGGAGCAAAACATATCAAAACAGTAATCAGCACTTCCAGTCACGCGAATTACACTGGGTGTACGTAACGCTGTGTGATTGGGTTATTGTATGTACAATGTTCTCGAATGACAAATTTATTTGATTTTGCTAAATTGTTAATATTAAAATACGTCACTGTATAACCCTTATTATAACACATTTACATTTAATACAATTTTATTATAGTACACCTTTAATTACCTGTGAAAAAAATAATATATTTCCTTACCCCACACATCAAGTGTAATTTCTTTAGTAACAGGTTGATCTTTAGCAATAGTTGCATCATTTGTAGCTTTACATATTAACGTTGTATTCTGATGGTCTAGATAAGTTGGTTTGAATGTCATGGTACTTGTTGTATCTTTCAGATCACTATCTTGTGTATTGTCTGATATTATCTCATCGTCATCTAGATTATCATTATCAACAGTCCACTGTATGTCAGATGCAGGACGTGCTTCCATAGCAACACAAGTTAATGTAGTCATGCGACCAGAAGTAACTATGACAACACCAGATGACTCTTCGGAAATGGTAACGCTGTTAGGGGATACTGAAATCAAAATAACATCAATATTTAATGTAATATTTTTTACTGTGACATGTCCACAATGGCGAAAATCCATTGTAGAAATTGTATCGGATAATCTGTTATCTACACATATAGATAATAGATTGCGGGAGCTGTGTAATATGAATGAGGTTGAACATTAAAACCATTTTTTATCATATGTCCTTCTAGAATTGTTGTATTATTGAACAGTTAAAAAAAATGTTTTGCAAGTAGTATTCCATTGCGTGATCTTTGTTATTTCTCGTCTGTTTTTAGTTGGGTGTGAAATTTTGTGGATTTTTTTACTTGATTGTTTTTTTCTTATTGTTATGCAACTATTTTAATTCCTCCATGAAGTTCAACATAGTTGTGCACACAATATTATAATATACTATTGCTATGATATGACCACAATGGTGTAAATTCTATAGTAGATGTTGTATCAAATAATCTATTATCTACACTATATTATATCATTGTTTACTTACCTTGTGCATCTAGTTTAATATTTGTGATAACTGGTTGTATATTTACTGAATTACATCATTCACATGTAACAGTTTTACTATGATATGACCACAATGGTGTAAATTTTATAGTAGATGTTGTATTAAATAATCTATTATCTACACTATATTATATCATTGCTTACTTACCTTGTACATCTAGTTTAATATTTGTGATAACTGGTTGCATATTTACAGAATTACGTCCTTCACATGTAATAGTTTTACTATGATATGACCACAA